TGGGGGAGTCCCTGTTCCCCCGAGCACTGCCAGGAGTGACCAGGAATAACGGTCACAAGCTGGCAGAGGGTAGGTTTAGGTTGGACATCAGGAGACGCTATTTCACGGTCAGGGCGGCTAGGATCTGGAACCAACTTCCAAGAGAGGTGGTGCAGGCTCCTACCCTGGGGGTTTTTAAGAGGAGGTTAGATGAACACCTTGTTGGGGTCGTTTAACCCCAGTACTCTTTCCTGCCACGGCACGGGGTCGGACTAGATGATCTACTCAGGTCCCTTCCGACCCTAGAAACTATGAAACTAACTATGAAACTATGTTTGTCTCTTGGTTCATGAAGCTGAGCCATGGGGCTCACCGGCTTCACCAGCTGTGGTGGGGAGAGATCATAAAATACCAGCTTTGTCCCGTGCTGCCTAGCATGCCATTCCCCTCTTGCTCGCCCACCTGAACTCCCCAGTGTTTCCGGCAGTGCGGGCTGGTGTGTATGTTCTTGAGCTGGCCTGTCCCGTTCAGTCCGGTCCGTGTGATCCAGGCAAGGTTTTTGCTTCATTCCAGCAGCATGTATAAAGCGTTTCAAAGTGGACAGCGACTCTGTCCACCCCGTTAGTGCTAGTCCCTAAATCGGCAACGAGTGGAGTGATTGCTTCTGTTAGGAAAAACTCTCCAAAGTCCAGGATGTGGGGAGAGCCCACACCTACCAACTTCCAGCTGCTGCTTCTCTCCTGAGGCTTTCAGAACAGGCATTTTCATGCTCGCAATGGAATTAAAGAGAATTATATCCAGGGCATACCATGTTGCTGCCCTGCTCCCGCTCTTTCTCCTGCTTTGGGGTAAGTTTTCTTTTTCTCTGTCTCATGGTTACCCAGCTAATGTGCTCTAACATTGGCTCCACTGTCTGCCTGAACTAGTGTTTGTGGAAGTGACTGAAATGTTGCTTTTGAAGTAGTACCTGCAAACCTTGGAAACTTATCTGAAAGATATACAGGCATTTTAGACTTTAGCTGTGTCTGGGTGTGGGTGTGTATCTTTATGCACTAGGGAGGTTAGAGAAGTGTTTGTGCAATTTAGTAGTCGGCGATCGCAGTAATTGTTCTCCATAACAAAACCCTATAGTAAAGTCCCCTAGATCTCACAGTTGCATCAATGTAGAACAAACAGGTAAGAGATTTCAGTGCTTTCCTGTAGGGTGCATCCAGGGGAGATAAGCTATGTGTGCTGGTGGCTGGTAATCCTACTATAAAATGCATGTGGGGGGTGCATGGGGGAAGGGCAGGAGGTGAAAGGCGCTCATTTTAGAAACCCTTAATAGTTTCAGGCCATCCACTCTTTATCTGGAGGGGGCGTTGAGGTGCTTAAAGACGGCATCATATTGGCGGAGCTTTCTTTTGAATGTTCTTTCAAGCCTGAAACTTTTGTCACTTGGGAGTGTGCTTGACTGTTTTGGGCCTCTGAAGGTATGCAGAAGATTTTTCCTCATGGACTTAAAATTCGCTCCTGGGTCTAATTTCTTGCGTTCTCTGGAAAATAGACTTCCCTATGTTCCTACAGAAATGGGTGTCTAGGGATCTGCTGGGCCTAGACATCTGTTTTCGTCATCTAGGGATTATAAGGTTGTGTCAGGAACAAGCCCAGCTCTCTACGGGAAGGAAGATGGGGACTGAACTGGCATCCTTAGCCCTCTGCAGGGCTGCCGGGCCAGGGCCTGCAGTCCTCCCCAGCAAGGGCAGCAGTGGTCTGGCACCAGCATGCAAAAAAGTGAGGGGAAAATGAGGGGAACTAGGAACAGTGAACTACTGAATCCGCGAGTGCTTTGCTGCTAGTCTCTACTTTACTTGCAATAAGATCCCTTCGAGAAAGCTAGGGAGCCCTCAGCTCTTTCTGTGCCCCCATAGTCCTTCCGCTTGCAGCTATCCTGCTTCTGCCTTGCTCTGCTCCTCCCAGACCACGTATGCATCCGTTGAGCTAAGTTTTGTTTTTTGCGGGAGTTATTCTTTCCCCTGTACCAACTTCTTTGTCTGGTGCATTGGCTCCAAGTGCCTGGAATTCCTTTGGCCACAGGGAAGCAGCAGGGCTGGCTTTTGTGCCTAGTAACCATAGCTACTGGTTTAAAGTGTGAAGCAATTATGGTGGCTTTGTGTTGTGCAGAAGGAAGGCCCATGGCTCACAGTATTGCTCAGCCCACGGCTGTGCAGGGGTTGGGATGCTCCTTGGGGAGTTTTGCTGGTCTGCTTCGCCTTGCGTGGGCAAAGCCTTTCTGTAGACGACACCTTACAGAGGACTTCTCTCTTCCTGCTACAGCTGGAATAGGTGTCCTGTCGATGAAGAATGAGAAAAAAATCCGCAGAAGGCATAATTTTCATAGACACACAGCTAGTTCCCCTCTGCAGGGGGAGTTTTGCTACCAGAGTGAGTTGTAGTAAATGTTTTGCCTTCCTTTGCCACCTCTCGCCTTGGGATTTCTAAGGACTTTAGGAAAAAAGTCCCTCCTTGACATTATACAGCAGGTAACTATTATCCTTTTTACATGTAGGGGAAACTGAGGCACAGAAGCTGGGTGATTTCCTCAGGATAACAGTCAAACTGTGCTTGAGAACAGTTCAGATGTCCAGTCCCCAGCTGTAACCACTGGGCCATGCTATGACGTAACCAGGGCCCCGTTTGCTCTCAGTGCTCAGTTGTGAAGGAAACCCTGTGGGGATAAGACCCAGGTTCTCTGGACAGACCCAACTCTGCTGCTTCCAGCATAAAGGGCAGAGTAGTGCTTGGCTAACGCGGGTCGAGTTGATTTGGAGTCTCGCTAAGCAGATTCTGGAAGGCAGATGTAAACCCCAGCTTCCCTGCATTTTTGGTCCCACACAACTCAGCACTTTAGGTCACGTGCCTTTGGTCTGGCAAATGCTTTGGCCACCTCTTGAGGAGGGACACATGCAGACAAGCCTTTCTTCTGGTGCTTTGCTATCTGTTCCAGGGCAGGCTCTCGAGATTAGCTCTGACAAACACACAGCTCAGCTCACAAAGGCTGTTCAAAGCCCTGTGACAAAGCAGCGCTCCCTTCTCCACACTCTGTATTGACTGCCAAAGTCTGTAGATTGGAATTAGAAATTAAAGCTTGGGAGCAAACTTGGCTCCTTGAATACAAAGGAAACCCCAAATTTTAGGGTTTGGTTTGTGGAAGTGGCTGGGAGATCAGAGAACCCTGAAGGTCAGCCCAGAGGTGGGCTTGCTGAGAGGGGATACCAGGGTGCAATGAGAATGAAAAGATCAAAGATTTACTGGGGCAGGGTAATTACAGCAGCCATAAAACACAGAATTACAGCTCTTGTATCCTCTTCCAGGTCTTACTCAGAGCTGGCCTTTTCCTCCTTTGAGGTAGGTAACAATTGTACTTATTTCACAAGGAGAAACTGAGGCACTGTGCATACAACCCTGACTTCCTGATGGGAAGTCCCACTCTTCTCTTCTCACTGCTTTACACGTATAAGCTGACATATGTGCTAACATGCAGGCACCTCTGGGGTGGGTTTTAACAGCTGTGAAAGTACACAGCGAGCTGAGGCAGGAAAGACCTCATTTGATCTCCTTTACAGAGGTTGAACTCCAAGGAGTTACCCTGGCCCACTGCAGAGCAAGACTTGTACCCGCAGCATTTTGATTTCTGCTGAGTTTAAGATTTGTCTAAGGGGCTGAGACAGCACCCTGGCTCTGCCAAAAAGCTGTGGGATCTTGTAGATGGGCCCTTTGTCGAATGAATTGCCAGCACAGCTTTTGGCTTGCCCTGGGTTTTCTTTTGAGGTCCCTTGTCACATTGTCGTAGTCGTCTTAGCAAAGCTTGTCAGATCTGTCAAGATGATCGCCTGAGACGATACGAATGACACTTAGATTCACCTGACGGATGGCACTTCTGCCCAAGTGTTGCCTCCATTTCGCTGCAGCAGGCCTCCTGCTTCATGTGCTATTTGCACAGCAGTGTAAAAGCTTGAATCGTTGCTATGGAAAACGGGTAGGAGGAATTTTTAATGAATCATCATCTTTGCAGATTTTCCTCCAATCTCTTTCCAGAAATCTGGAAGGTTTAGCAAGTGCCCTATAAGCCTCCACCAAGGAGGCTGTCCAGTGGGCGGCAATGCCTTGAAAGCAGAAGAATCCTCCAGCTTCTGGCAGCGATGTGATCTATCAGTAGATCAGCAAGATCAAATAAAGATTTTATTTGTGGGAGGGGACCTAATTCAACAGAGCCTCTCCTAGTCCGTGGAGAACAATGAGGGAACAGGTGCTCAGTCCTTGTACAAAGCAGTGGTGGCAGCCCCCCTGCTGGGTGGTGGTCACTGGAAGGTAAACATTTCTGGGAAGCCTCTATGCCTGCATCCAGACTATATAAGCTGAGCAGAAAAATCATCTTAAAAGTCCATGGAAAGGGGGCGCCTAGAAAGGATGCAGAACTGGGAATTGTTCAGGCCAAAGCAAGATCAGTGGAAATTAGCCAGTGCTCTGGAAAGCCCTCAGTGCTTGGAAAGAATCGCATGGCCATGGTCTTGGTGCTTAAGCGATTAATGTCAGGAGTTCTGCTCGGCTTTTTTAAAATGCCACAGACTTTAGTCTGTGCCAGTGAAAGATGCCAAAGAGCTACTGGGTCACCACCCCTGTGTTAAAAGCCCCAAGGAGCTTCACGGCACCTGGGAAGTTCCTTTAAAAAACACTTTCTGCAAGAGCCCCCCCATGCTTGCTCCCTGTCTCTTGCTGAATGCTTCGAGTTGCCAGGAGCATGGCAAACGCTTCCCCAGAGCGGTCAGTGGGGCGGGGAGAGGCAACCCAACAGAAAAGAAAGCCCCTTGCAGGCCTGCCCTGCTTCCCTTCCTGTTGAGTGGAGGCTGGGAGTGTGCCCTTCCGCTAATCCCTTACACTGACCAGGGTAGAGAAAGATCAGCAGAGGTCAGCAGGGATTTACTAATATAAGCACATGCCTTTCTGTTGCCATGGAAACATAACTCTTTCCATTTCTTTGTTCAAAGTATCAGCAGAGTTGTCTGTCTCGCTCTAAATGTTGTTTAGATACCTGGGGAGTTTTCCTACTTCACCTTCAGCTTCAACCTGGAAGTATAGCAGGGAAACTGCTGGGGCACAACAGAACTGCTGGAAACGGCACCAGGTTGGGATTTTGATCCTCCAGGTCTCGGCTGCTTGCAGGCTTCCCAAGCTCACTTGCTGTTGCACCACTGTTGCAGAGCCAGTGGGAGACCTGCTATTTTCAGCTCCTGGTTGCATGGAGACTGTCCCTCTAACTGCAGACATGAACAGGACAGATGAAATATAACTGAGGGAATAAAAAACCTGCCAACCTGTGGCTTCTCTATGCAGGATGGTTGTGAGAAGCAAAACTGAAACTGAAATAATGCAAGCATTGGGGAAATCCAGGGGCCTCCTATGGTGGCCGTTCTGTGCCAAGGTATTTGTCCCAGAGGCATCAAGTTCCTCTTACATGGTTTTGGGTACTAGAAAATAGCCATTTTTTAATAATTCAACATACTTTGCCTTAAAAAATAGCAAACTGTGGGGACAGGAGGGTAAATCCTGCTGTGCATTTAGTGTGAGCGTGTTTTGAAACTGGGAGCTCTGGCATGTCAGCTCCCCATTTTCCCCTCCCTTGGGGAAGTCTTTGCAGTGAAAGGCCCCTGGCTGGGGGGAGTGCACATTCCTTTACTTGACTATCTTCAGTCTTGTGTCATGGAGAGACAGTATCAGGCTTGTGTCTGGCCCTGGTTACCAGTTAAAAACATCACAGCCTGGGTGCCTGATACAATGCATCACCGCCGCCTCTGTCAGGCTCTTTTCT